TTAAATTCTATCGTCCACCGAGATGAAAACCCACGTGCGGAAGTAAAAAATAAATATCCCCCTTGGAAATGCAATCCAAGAATTCTTTCTAAGAAAATGAAAACGTCTCTTTTCAATGAATTACTGAGAAAATAAATACAAAAACTTCAGACATTGAAAAATCGAGGTTTTGAAACAAAAACTCGTGGATCTTCCTCGTTTGATGTAGAACAACTTAAGAGTTCTAAGAAAGTTATAAAAATGATGCATCGGTTGAAGTATTTCCTGGACTTTTAAATTGGTCGAAATAAAATTTAGAATAAAAAAATAAAGGATCTCATGTTTCCTCAATCCTCAAGTATTTTATTTACTTTTAAATTAATTTGCTTTCGTTTAAATGTAAAAAATAAAATATAACTTCGAACATTGCAGATAAAATTTACTCCAGTATCACTATTGCATTTTAAGTACGTTCTGTAGAATTCGGCTGCTTCAAGAATTTTTCTTCCTACAAAATATCTAAAATTCAATTATCAATTAAACAAGATAGACTCAGAACTAAAATTATTTCTTTTTTGCTTTTAAAAAGAAATGTATTACAAACTGAAAACTGAAGAGATATAGCAAAAGAAATCGCCTCCATTAGAGTTAACAAATAAACATACACAAGCGTGGGAGTATATAAGGGCTGAATTTCAATTAAATTCGTTTTCAGCTGTTATAAGTGCAATTTTTTCCTCCTTTTTTTCAATTTAAACTTACTTTATATCGTATTATTTGAGAACTTTACTGAAAACTTCTTTTTCTTTATTCTTAATGCCCTTCTCACGGCTTTGTCAGAGAAGAGTATGCAATTCACTTCCATTCATTGCATGTTTGAGTTGCCAGTTTTGGGAAATGAGCACAGGCTATCTGGAAGAAGTAGAATAAATGGAACTGAATAACATTTATGTGAAACTGAAAATAAAAATGAGTGCGTTTTTTTGACAACACACTATTCTGTACAGAAAATAATATTTTATTACATTATTACTTTTATAAAATTAGCTCATCTTAGGAATCTAATATATGTTCCATATTTTATTTTCTACATTGTAAAGCTAAATAATTTTAATATTTTTGCATATTAAAATTAATATCGGTTCCAAATAAAAAAAGTTTCTAAATTTTAAAGATTCACTTTCATAAGTGGTGATTTGTGTTATAATCACTTATACATAAAGATTGTGGAACATTTTTCAGCCTGAAATTATATTTCATATTGCATCCTTGATTTTTGTTTACGTTAGGCAAATACAATGAATGATTTTTTGTTGTTGTTCATTTCCTTTTTTTTTGTGTATTAAATCCTTTTAATATAACGTACGAATACATAGCTCTTTTTAAATGTTTCTCATTTTTATTTATTCACAAAATTCTGAATTTGACAAACTTGTAGCATTCTTTGGTCAATTCATCGGAATTTATTAAATACGAGTTAATTAGACTTTCATCGCTAAAAATAATTGTTCAATAACTATCAATTACCCTTTGTGAGCTTTTTAAAATAGTTTTTATGAAACACGTATTTATATAATTGTAATCAAATTTTAATTAAATTAAATCGTTTTCTGAAAACAAAAACACAAGTTCTCTTTTTCAAGACCTTTTACATTCACAACGAATCCTACGCCACACAGTTAAATGGCAAATTTGCCAATGTTCCAAAAAGTTATCCGGATAGATTTATGTTTCTAAAGTATAAATTACAACTTTTGTGTACAAAATGCAGCAAATAGGTATATAGCAGAATATCTCTTAATAAATATTTCGAGCAATAAAACTTTTTGTTATTCCATACGTTGCCAAGTTATATGTTGCAACGTTCTAAAGCTGATGTTTAGCTTAATTATTGAGTAAATTTTATAAACTTAAATGTTGTTTTCTGTCTTATTTGTACTCCTAAAATGAAAGTAAGGATCCAACTTTAAGTGTATTTTCTCCATGAAAAAAAGTTTAATAGTTTTTGCATTAAAGAATATTTAAGTAGTAAATTACCTTTAACGAAAAATGGCATATCTTGGCTTTTACCTTAGAGAAATAAATCCTAAGTAACAAAATATTCTGAAAATGTTGAACACTTTTTTAAAATTTCAAAGAACATTTAGTAAAAGTGTGTGAATATAGTTCTAGTAGTAGATTTGTAAATATATTGTTAAACAGGCTGTAATATTCTCAAAAATTATTTTGAGTACATTCATTACATCTATATCAATATCTATTACATCTATATGTAAAGGAGAAAAGCGAGTCACTCACTCTCTTCTCACGATATCCGCTGAACTATTACACTTTCAGATATGAAATTTACCATGCATGTTTCTCTTGTTAAATAGAGATCCGCTAGGAAGGATTTTGTGGAAATCGACCCCAGAGGGGTATTGCGGGAGTGTTGAAGGTAAAAATCACAGTTTTGAACTATTATATCGAGAGACTTGAAATTTCACAAATTTGTTTATTTCATTCAGTGCAGGTCCAATAAGAACGGGTTTTACGAAAACCGATTCATAAGGGGGTATTGTTGTGATATGCCCCCCCCTTTGGTAACCATATCCTTGATTGTCAGCGTGAGCTAGAGGTGTGGGATTCTCAGAATGAACAGACATTTTAAATTCTTAGTATGACTTTATTAAGAATATAACTTAAACGTCTAACAATTTAGATAAATTTATATAAATGAGAATCTAGAATGAAATAACACACAAAAATAGTTAAACCGAATCGCGTAATTTAGACCACTTTCTCTAAATAATTATATTATCCGCCTATTCTCACTTCTAATAATATTACAAGTTCTAATATCAAATAATCAGTCCTACCTTATTCCAAACTTAATTTCAATCTTTAAATGGAAACGTCTGGGCGCGAGAGTGCAATGGTGTGCATCTTGTAGTAATGGCTGGGTTTCTAGGTAACTTTACGATAGGCTGTTAATTCACGCTTGTATCTTCTCCTAACATAACATTCATAAAATTGCCATTATGCTTACTGAAACTTCTGTTCTTTTAAAAGCTATCTTATTTGCATTTCTTAATCGCATTTCGCTTCTTGGATTTTGGTTGGAAAAGAGTTGCCATTAATCTCTTGGCCATCAAAGAACCCAGAGGTTATGTTAAAGAAAAGATGCGTGAGCCCGTCACATTGTGGGGGCATTATTGATAAAAATTCACATTTTTGCACTATTATACCTACAGATTTGAATTTGTGAAACGTGTTTCTTTCGAGTAGATATCCGCTAAAATTAAGTTTTTGCAATAATCGACTCCTAAAGGGAGGGAAGAGCTATAGGGGTGTTGTAGACAAAATTTCCCGTTTTAGTACTATTAGACTTGCGAACCTGGAATTTGGCAAACATCTTCCTTCCATTGAGTAGAGATCCGCTAAGAACGGGTTTCCCTGAAATTGTCAACTTAGGGGTCTGTTTGGTTTATTAGTGGGGAGGGGATAATAAATTTTAAAAATTTCCGTTTTTGAGTTATTAAACCTACAGCGTTGAAATTTGGCAAGCATGTTTCTTTTGCTAATTGGATATCCGCTAAAAGAAGGGTTTGTGGAAATCAACTTCGAAAGGGGGTTACGGAAGCGTAAGAGATAAATATATTTTCGTTTCAAGACTTCAAGTTCTATCCTTTTTAAACCAAGTAAAATCTATTGAAATATTTCTCAACTCATTAAAAGATTAAATATAGGGCTACTTAGATTTTAAAAAAAGTTAAAAAAACAATATATAGTTATACAATAAATGAAAAACCCAGTGAAGCGGGTAGATAATGGGTAAAATAAAAATAAAATATAAAATAATTTTTTTAATGTTATAAAAAAAGAAAGAAAATTCCTTTAAAATAATTCCAATTGAGGATATGTTAATTTCAATAATTCCTCGTTATAACGATCAAATATATTTTATGTTGAAAAGAATAAATTTATTCTTTGAAAATATCTTATATACTATTAAGATCGAATAAATAACTACAGAAATTATTTTTATCCAACAGGTAAAATTATAAACATTAATTTAACATCAACACTTTTAGGATTTAATACAATAAATCATAAGAAATTGTTTAAATTTTCTGAAAATATGTTTTAAATCACCAATGTGATACTTTGACAAAGAGTTCATTATTTTAACTTCAGATGTGATATCTGACTTGAAATATTGTCTGAGAAAGTTTTCTATAATCTTTGTTAACCATACATACAATTGTGGTTAAATGTTTCAGCTTGCAGAAGCTGCTACGTCGGCCGAAGTTCGAAGAACATACACAATTACGTTAATTATATACCATATCCAATTATATACATAAAGTTACTCTTAGAGTTTAATGTGAACTGAGATAGCTTCCGTCGTTTAACAAGATTTATGGTAAATGAGGTTCGTAGTATTAGGTGTTTATAACATTTGAAATTTAACGTAATTGTTATATTTTCTGTAATGATATTTAATGAAAGTCTAGACTTGTTTGCAGCGACAATTTCGAAATGAATTTGCTTCACGACTACATAAAATATGAACTAGAACAAATTACATGAAATGTTTATGTGGATATCCTTTTTCTCAAATGTCTGTGAACTGTTTTAATCTTCTAAATTACAAGTTAGTACGAAAGAAACGCTTTCAAGGCCTTTGGGCTCAAATCATGCCAAGAAGAAACTCAATTTTGGAAGTAATAACTCAAACGCAACAAATAATATATAAAAAAGTCTTTTTAAGTCAATTTCTATTTAGATCAACCAAGAAAATTTTTATTTTAGTTACTTTTTATTAAATAATTACAATTAATATAAATATGTATATACATAGGACAGAATCGCAATATTAAATGACAAAATAAAAGCGATTTTCCTTACTATTTTCCATTTTCCTGTCTATACAGGGTGTTGGACTATTTTTTTTTTGTTACTGTTTATTCATTAATTAAATTTAATTATTCTAATAAAATAGTACAATAAAAAAGAAATCATGCTCTCAAAAATTAGGCTATCCCAGGTGGGCTTTGACACCACGACCTTTGAATTAGAAGTCCAACGCGCTATATATTGCGTTACAGGGACACAACGAACAATTCTCCTTTCCATATGTGCTGTTGGACTATTATTTTTGTTTGTTACTATTTATTCATCCTTTGATTTAATTAATGAATTAATATTTGAAAAAATGTATTAACATCAAGTGTCATCCACTGCAAGTAAAAAAAATGTATTTGAACTTGAATGGATGAATAGAAAGTATTTTATTAACGATTGAAAATTTGAACAAGATATATATTAAATATATATATATATACTAGTGGTCCCGACAGACGCTGTCCTGTACACACGTCTTAAATCTAAAAATTACAAACATTTTTGAATAAGTTGTAACAATCTGGACCGTTTTGATGAATTTTTTTATAAAGAAAATTATTACAATGCCTGGCATCGTCACATGTGCAGTTACCACAATTCGACCTACCGATTAAGTGTGAGTATGTATTTACTGTGAACTAAGTTGAATATAGAAGCTATTCTGAATAGAAACTTAAACTTGTTTTAATTAAAGGGTAAAATGTGGATAAAACTCGGGCTATTTTCATAACAGGTATATTTTTAATGCACAAAAAATAAGTTTATCGTAATGCCATGAATGTCTTATGTTTCTGGTTAATACTTGAGGGGTATAAACAAACGAATGCAATGATTTGCCAAACCACGGACATGCAACATATAATTGGCCGTGCGAAGAGCAATGGTCTTCTAAATCTGAGCCACAAATTGTCATTGTTTGACCTAGTGACTTATTAATGGTCATAGCAAATACCAAGCGATTTGAAAATTGCAAACGTTTGAATGAGTTGGTGAGTCTGAAAGAATCATTGGGATCTGTGGTAGAAGTACAACTTCATCTTGAAGTTTGCAGCTCAAAATAATATATATATAAGAGAGTGAACTAATAGTAGGAATTGAAAAATGAGAAGAGTTTTACCTATTCATTATTTTAAATTGCTGCTAAGCACCTGAATATATATAAATTGTGGTCAAGCATCAATTGGCAAAAAATAATTTTTTTTATCAAGAAACTTAGAAAATTTTTTAATTCTTCATTACTGGTGAAAGCAAACATGAATGATGACTTGACACGAGCAGCGTTGTTTCCGTTGTGTGCTCGAGCCCTTGAGTCTCACTAAAGCAGTGCTTCTCAAAGTTTCAACATTCTCGACCCAATATTCAATCATAATTTTCATCGCGCCCCCTTCATACAATAACAATGTATTGAACTCAATAATACTATATTTTAATACTAAAACTACGATGTGACTTTAACCTTTTAAGTGCCACCGGCGCAAATAAATGTCTCTCTCAGCCAACGCGCTAATTTCCCCGCACGTATATATACGTCTGTCCGAAGTATGGTCTTTTCTATGCACTGATATCCATAAATTTATTCCGAAGGCTTTGGAATACAATAAAAGGACCTTGACAATGTTTGCGAAGGATTTACTTATTTCAGACTATTTACGTTTTTATTCCTACCTCCACCCCAATACATCACATATGCGCGTCTACGTGGAAAACAGTTGGCATTTGGAAACGAATCACGTAACTTTTAATCGGCAATTCAGAGTTTAATTCTAATAAGTGATAATTTTTGTATATAATTTTATATATGAGAATCCCTGGCAGTTATTAAACATATTCTTAACTTAGTATTGTTAAATTAATTATAAAATACATTGTGTAGCCCTAATACAATTATAAGTGTAATATATCAGTGTAAATGTGTGTTTTATTTTTTTATTATGTCAGAACGCGTATTTTGTTTGTTTACTTTCCATAAATTAATAATTTTTTTTAAATAATCTTTTGTTTTTGACTTATCAATATGCTCGTGCCCCCCTTGTAGAGTTGTCATGCCCTTCAAGGGGGGCGCGCCCCACAGTTTGAGAAACGCTGCTCTAAAGACCATCATGTAAATGAGCTTATGCACTTTAAATTTATCGAGAATCAAAGTTTTCATATTGGCGTGGAGTGGAAATTTAGACCGCGTTTTCAAATAACGAGATCCGACTCCATTAGCACACACTCGTGTTGCTCTGTAGTGCGCAACGTCAATAAATAATCAACTAACTAATATCATATGCTCTTAGATCAGTGTTTCTCAAATTGTGGGGCGCGCCCCCCCTTGGGGGGCATGATAACCTTACGAGGGGGGTGCGAGCATATTGAGAAGTCAAAAACAAAAGATTATTTTAAAAAAATTATTCATATACGGAAAGTAAACTAACAAAATACATTCTGGCATAATAACAGATAAAATACATATTTACACTGATATAAGATACTTAAAAATATATAAGTACTGCGCAATGTATTTTATAATTAATTTAACAATTTTAGGTAAAAAACAAGTTTCTTAATTACCAGTGACCCCCATGGGCTTCTCATATATAAAATTATAAGCAAAAATTAACACTTATCTCGATAATTGGTACGGTTTATAATTAATCACTCAAATGCCGATTAAAAATTAAGCGATCTCCACAATGTCATCGTTTAGTACGTAGGCATGTGTAATTGGTGTATTGGGAAAGGGGGGTAGAAAAGGAATAAAATAAGTCAATTCTTCGCAAATACTGTCCAGGAGATTTTATTGCATTCCAAAGACTTCAAAATAATTTTAAGGAGAGCAGTTCACAGTAAAGATTGTACTTCGGAAAGACGTATGTATACGTCCGGGGCAATCAGCGCACTGGTTGGGCAAGACGTTTATATACGCCGGTGGTGGCACAGAGGTTAAAATCGTGTTGTAAGCTTAGCGCCAAAGAATATTACTATTTAATTCAGTTCATTGTTATTGTATGGAGGGGGCGCGATGAAAATGATGATTGAATATTGGGTCGCAAATAGTGAAAGTTTGAGAAGCACTGTCTTAGAGAATAAATCTCTCTTTTTCGTCTTGATTAAAGCTTCACTTTCATCTCTGAAAATACCCTCCTTTTCATATTTTTACTTAGTGATTACTTTCATTAATTACTTCTTGAGTTAATGTGTGTGTGTGTGATTGCTTACTTTCATTACTTATTTCAAACAATCCTCATCTTCTACCTAGATTTTTTTCTATGCATGTGGATTTTTATCAATATTTTTTTCATTTAATAATTTTTCTCTTTTATTTAACGGAATAAGTTTTGAAGATACATTCCATTCAAATATTGATTTTATGGCTCCTCTTTTTTTTTTTTTTTTTTTGTTTCAGTAAATAAACGAATTGGTTTGTACAATTTTGTTATAAATTTCTGCAAAAATCGATCGCATGATAATTGAAAGGTATTAAGTTGGGGAAAAAGAAATCCATTATATTTTTTCGGTAGATGGCTGTAATGTCGATATCTCGTGAAGTATCCATCAAACAATTTCAAATTTATCTCGTTGTCAAGATGACATTTCACACTAAAAAAAATAATTTGCATTTTTTTTTGTTTTGTCCATTTAGTTGTGAGTTACAGGGTATTAAAAATGGAAGTCAACAAAGAGAAAATTCGGTTCTTTTTACAGTTTTTCTTTGATAAAAGCGAAAATGCAAGCCAGGTGGCTGAAATTGCGAATGGTGCTTATGTTGCCGATACGTCAATTTTGGTTTCGTCGATTCTGTTCGGATATTTTGGATGTTAAAGATGCACCTCTCACAGGCAGGCCCATCGTTGAAAATGTCGATAAAATCACAGAAATAATCGAAGTTGACCGGCATATTAGTAGTCACATCCTCGTTTAGGAGCTAAAGATCGACCATAAAACAGTTTTAAGCCATTTGCGCAAAGTTGGATTCAAAAAGAAGCTCCATATTCGGGTGTCACACCAATTAACACCAAAAAACATGATGGATCGAATTACCATTTGTGAAACCTTGGCCAAACGGAATAAAGTCGACCCATTTCTTAAGCGGATGGTGATTGGGGATGAGAAATGGGTCACATACTACAATATTGTGCGAAAACGATCGTGGTCAAAATGCGGTGAAGCAGCTCAAACCGGGACCAAACCAAGACTAACAGCCATGAAGGTTCTATTGTGTATTTGATGGGACTGAAAAGGAACTATTTATTAGGAGTTGCTTCCGAATGGCCAAACACTAAATTCAGATCTCTACTGTCAACAAATGGACTGTTTGAAGCTAGTGATTGATCAGAAATGGCCAGAATTGACCAACAGAACAGATGTTGTGTTCCGTCTATATAGCGCCAGGCCACACACTTCTGTAGTGACTCTCCAGAACCTCTGGGAAGTTGGTTGGGAAGTTTTAATGCATCCACCATATAGTCCAGACCTGGTACCAAGCGATTATTATCTTTTTCTAGCATTGCAAAACTTCCTGAGTGATAAGAAATTGGGATCAAGAGAAGATAGTGAAAATCGATTACTAGATGTTTTCGCCAATAAGAGCCAAGATTTCTATGAGAGAGGCATTATGAAGCTACCTTTAAAATGGCAATAAATTATACAACAAAACGGTGCATATTTGACCCAAATCGGACAATCGGAAGCATGTTAAATAAAGACTTAATTTTCATGCAAAAATAATGAATTTCTTTTTCCCCAACCTAATATATTCGATACTTAAAAAGATCTTAATTATGGAAAAGAGACGCGTGATATTGTGACTTTTTGTTGGTTATTTTCAAAAAAAAAATTTTTTTAACATTTAATTGCAATAGCTTAGTTCCATTATATTCAAACAGCATCCCACAGAACATGCTTGTTGATACTTGTTAAATCTGTCAAGGCTGAAAATCCTCATATTGACGTAGTGAGGATGCATTCCTGCTTAGATGTCGTCCTCGATACTCGTCAATGGCTTAAATTAAGTGGCTGTGATAGCCTAGGGGTTATCGTTTCGAACTCGTGGCTGGTGTGTCATGAGTTCGAGCATAAGTGCCACTGAAGAATCATCGTGTACTGGGACCCATAAACGTCGAGGTTCTAAGCCCTTCCGTTAATGTAGTGTGGTAGTTTGGAGAGGGGAAAACAGCTCAGATGTCGTCCTCGTCACTTGACCATGGTTCAAAATTACGTGGTCC